AACTATAAATGATTATACATGTAGTAGCTTTAAAGAAGCTTGCTCTTATCTAGGTCTTCTTCAAGATGATACTGAATGAGATACCTGTTTGCTTGAAGCAACTTCTATACAGACAGGACACCAACTATGACAGCTTTTTGCAACTATACTTTTATTTTGCCAATCTATAAAATCTGAGTTATTATGGAATAATCATAAAATTGCATTGTGTGAAGATATTTTATATCAAGCTTATGTGCAATTACAAGATCTTGAAGATACAAATGATATTCCTGCTACAATTAAAAATGAAGCTCTTACTCAATTAGAAAATATATTTTTACTAAATGGAAAATCTTTAAAAAATTTTCCTGATATGCCAATTCCCTCTATTACTTCAAATATTAGTAATAATGAAGAAAAATTAAATCATTTAATACGTGAAGAGAGATCTTACAATATAACAGACTTAGAAGCTGAATCACAATGCAATATACCTTTATTAAATAATGATCAATGTGCAATATTTGATGCTGTTATAAGAGCAATTGACAATGAAGAAGAAGAATGTTTTTTTATTGATGGACCAGGTGGTACAGAAAACCCTTTTTTATATAACACTTTACTAGCAAGTGTTAGATCATGTTGTCACATTGCTTTGGCAGTAGCCTTTTCAAAAATTGTAGTACTTTTAATTAAAGGTGGACATACAGCTCATAGTCGTTTCAAAATTCTACTTAAACCTAATGAATCTTCTACATGTAATATTTCATGGAATAGTAAAGAAGCTCATTTAATTAGTATTGCAAAACTTATTATTTGGGATGAAGCCCCAATGACCAATAAATTTGCATTTGAAGCTCTTAATAAAACATTTTGTGATATTATGCAAATAGATAAACTATTTGTTGGAAAAGTTATTGTTTTTGGTAGTGATTTTTGTCAAGTACTACCTGTTGTATCTCGTGGCTCCTGTGCAAATATTGTTTCAGCTAGCTTACCTCGCTCTTCATTATGGAGTAATATAAATGTTATTAAATTAACAATTAATATGAGATTTCAGCAAACTAATAATATTAATAAGAATCAAAGACAAAAAAAATTTGCTGAGTTTCTTTTACAAATAGGAGATGGAACATACCCAATTGTTGCAGATACAGAAAATAGAATAATACTCTCTTCTGATATAGTTGTAGCTGGTGGAATGTTATCTGATCTTATTGATAATGTTTATCCAGATTTCATTCAAAACTCTAATAATATCAATTACTTAACTGAAAGAGCTATACTAACTTCAAAAAATAGCGATATTGATATAATATCTGATCTAATGATAGATCAGTTTCCTGGTTCAATTTCTATATATCCCAGTGCAGACTCTACAGATTCAGCAAATAATAAAAATATTTATCTATACTCACCTGAATTTTTAAGATTTTTAAAAATCTCTGGTCTTCCTCCTGGTGAATTAAAGTTAAAAGCTAGT